GGCTGCACCTGGCCAAGAAGGACTGGTTCATTTTCAAATACGACGGTCGCTACTATCACCGTGTGGTGCTGATCTTTTGGTAGGCAGGTCCCTCTGTGGCTCACGCAGTTTATGGCTCTGTTCGTGCAAGCGGTGCGTCGCTGGGAGTATCGTGTGCTCGCGTACCTGGACGACTTCCTAGTGGCGCCATTGGCATACGGCACCACGTCCGGTCTTCGAGACTGTGCGGTCGCGCGGGAGCACATCGCAGAGCTCTTGACTCAGCTAGGGCTACAACGGCACTGGGAGAAGGCCGAATAGACCGGAGCCACACGCGGGGAGCACCTAGGAGTCGTGATCGCCTCTGAGGAAATGAAGTTCTACGCCGTGCCACGAAAGGCCGAGAAGGTCCGCCAGCTGAGCAAGGCGCTTCTAAAGGAAGTCGGGTCCGGAAGACGCTGGGTGCAGAGCCGCACCCTGGCGAGTTTCTGTGGAACCTGTGTATCGCGGCGACTGGCCATGCCGTGAGCCACGTTCTATGCACGGTCTCCGTATTGGGACATGTCTACTGGGCGCGCGCGAGACTCCTGAGGGCGTTGTCGACTCTCGCATCAGGCTGTCCGGGACTTGAGGCTCTGGAGAGACTTGCCAGAGCCATCCCTAGAAGGTCGCCAGTTAACCCGGACGAAACCCACGGGAGTGATGCACAAGGACACTGCCGACATGGGATACGGCGGGACACTCAATGTCCGCGACCTGAACGCTGGAGCCGTTGGAATGTGGCGCACGCAAGGTGTCTGGAATTGGCGGCAGAGAGCTGAGTCCATCAACCTTCGCAAACTGCGTGCGCGGCGGATGGTTTTGACAAGTAGACTGCAATAGCCGTTGGTACGCACCGGTGTGAAGGACCTCGTTCTTTACATCGACAACCAAGCCGTTATGCACATAGCGAACAGCTTTGTCTCGGCGAGTCGCCCGATGATGCTTGAAATTCGAAAGCTGAAGACGGTAATGGATGTTATGGGAGTACGGATCCGAGCAGAATGGCTTCTGTGCGCCATGAACAAGTTCACATTTTCTGGAAGACGTGGTTTTGCTCCTGTTTTGGACACGGTACGATAATGTTAATGGTTGTGGGTTCGAACCCAGGGAGGGGGCACAGTAGCACGGCACTGATTTCCTTTTTGGACAGTCGTCAGCGCCCGGCGCTTTGCGGCCTTGCTGAAACCACGGGCCCGGTTGTTTCAGCACGGCCGCCAGTGTGCTGGAAAGTGAAACCTCTTTCATCGACTGAAGGAAAAAGAATGGCCAGGCCAGGAGGAGGAGGTCATATGCAGCGCAGTTGGTACTCCGGAAATAAGCGCATGCACTGCCTCATCTACCAGACGGTCACAACGCCTTATGGGCTCCTTTTCCACATATTAGGCCCCGAAGTTAGTCGTAGGCACGACCTAACGTTGTTAAGAAACAGAAACATAGAGACTCCTCTGCAAAGCCTTTATTACAGGGCAGGCAGTTTTACCAATATGTTGATGCAGCGTACATGCTCAGGCCGTTGCTTCCATTCGTGTTAAACCAATTAAGAGCTACAGAATCGCAGGCGTCTTCCAATACAAAAAAGAGGGCTGTTCGCGCAAGTGTGGAGTGGAATTGACGGATGTCAAACAAATGATGAGTCGCATCGATTACGCTCGTTTACTCAAAGTACGCAATGCGCCTATTGCAACTCTTTATTAGGCATCTGCTCTTCTCCTCAATTTTAACACATGCATGGAGAGCGGCGGACAAGTCGAGAGCTACTTGAAATTTCCTGCACTGAAGTTTGCGCAATACCCTTCCCAGTGGTGTAAATATGGGCACTTTGTACGCGAATTACTCCCAAATAAAGAAAGTTTGGCCGTATGATGTTCTGACGCAACCAATAAAAAGATATGCGTCTTGCGAAGCCAGAGGCATGAAAACCAAGAGGAACGACCAGTAAATGGCTGAGAAACGTTTACATCAGTGACTAACTTCCGAAAGGGGAGCTCAAATCGCCCCGGGCAAATTTTGGGCACCTGAGATTTGCAACCGGAAGGCTCGTGTGCACGCCGTTAATGAACGTCTTTTAGAATTGCCCGAGCAACTGGGTGCCCCCGGGCATGTCTGGTCGTCCTCCAGTGCTTTTCAGAGACTTCGGGGAGCTGTGTGGCAATCTACAGCGCGGAGTTCGCCGGAGAGAAGGCGTTCGCAGCTTCCTCGGTGATCGACGCGGAGGCTACAGCCGCCAGTGCAATGCCTGCACGCATCTGCAGCTTGCGGAGTGCCTTCGCACGCCTCTCTTCCGCGCGCAGCTGTTTTGCCTCTGCGACATCTCGGCGCCTCTGCAGAGCGGCAGCTTTGCGGTGATCCTTCGCTGCGGCCTCGGCGATCTTGGCTGCCTCAGCCTCCTTGCGCCGCTTGAGCAGATCGGCTGTTGTGAGCCAGTCCGCGGGCGCCCCACTGTCAAACGCAGGCCTCTCGTGACCATTCTCAGCTCTCGGGATAGGTTTCGGAGCGGAGATACGGTTCATGAGGATATTGTTCACAGTGTTGGTGTTTGCCAGCATAGTTTGAATGCGCTGAATCTTGACGGCACTGGCCACATCCTCGGCCATAAATGCTGCAATCTTAAACTCTGTCTCAGCATCAGGTTGACGTTGCGGTACATCAACTGCGAGACCAACGCCGCTCGAAGGTCCTTCATTGCGTGAAGAGCCCGCACCGCTCGAAGGACCAGCAGCTGTCTCAGAGGAGAGGAGCAGCTGCTCCACTGATGTCCTGAACCGATCAGCGAAGTGGCGTTGAAACGGGAACAGGCCGCACGTGAGAAAGGATGAGCGCACGTCCGCCTCCGAAATCGCTTGATGAGCGAATACAGCGCACGCCAAGCTGAAATTGACAGACCGCGCGTCTATGAGACATACCTCTGCGAATTTGTCTCGGATGATCCTCAGAGACGTTTTGAACCTCTTATTCACCATCTGATCACACGGCTGGAGGAAGTGCGATGTATTGGCTGGAGACTGGACGATCTCGCATCCAACTTCTTCACAAAGCTCCAGCCACTTGTAGCCGTTCCGAGAGCCGTGGCCGTCTAGCGTGAGTAGATAAATGTCATTTACACCAGCGAAATTGCGCACGAAGTTATCCAGATGCTTGATGAATGCTGGGAGAATAGCCTTTTCCATCGAGCCGTTCTCAGTGACCTTGATAGTGGCGTCGTCCAGCATCCATCCAGGTTTAGTGAACATGTGGCAGTCCGAATTGGCCTCGAGAAACACCTGATCCAGAGGATCCAGCCACTTTTGCATGATCTTCTTCCCAGAAATGATGAAGAACGGAGGGGCCACGAGGCCGTGTGCAGAAACCGCGATGACGGCGGTAATGTGCTGGCCACCGCCGTTCAGCGTGGAGGCGACAAACCCCCCGTGGTGCGTGTTCGAAGGACCAAAGACCTTAGTGCGCTCTCCAAAACTGACTGTGACCGACGTCTCATCATTGTTCCAGATGCGCCGGCCCTCTTGGAGAATACCAGGATGCTTGCGCTCGACGCTCTCAAGAATAGAAAAGAAAGGCTCGACGTGATTGAAGCGCTCTCCCTTTAACTTTACTGCCTCTTTATTCTCCGAGTTCCTGAATGTGAGATCCCGATTGCGCGCACGGAAGGCTCTAATGGAATCATTGATTGGGTGGTAGTCTGCCCACGTCCTCTCACGGCCGTCGTTCGCGACTTGCGCCATAACCTCACGCAGATGCTTGTAACCGACGGCAAATCCCTTCTTCGCACTAAACTTGAGCCGCTCAACTATCATGCGTTCCGCTTTGGTTGTCAAAACAGTAGGAGATCCAGCTCTCTTCGACGTGTCAAGGTTACACTGCGACGCCAGCTCTTCCCACCTTTCCTCCTTCATCATTTTGGTCAGCATGTAGACAGAGCCCTTGGACAAACCCGTCATGCTCGCAATGACTCTCTGCGTCTTCCCTGCCTTGAGGTGCTCCACCGCATGCTTCTTGGCAATCACACGTTTCTCATGCCCCGTGGCCGCCAACAGTAGGGTGCGCGTCTGCTTGCGCATCGAGGGTGGCATTGAGTCTTGCCTGGAGAGAAGTCTGGATCGAAGAGATTGTTTGGAGAGGCTGCTCGGACTGTAGTGGTAGTCAGTCTCGGATCAAGATCGCCTCTATAGAACCGTGCAAGAGCTTTCAGCAGACCGGACAGCACCTGCAAAAGCGCGCCCGCGCTTCCCCATCAACGCTTTCCCGCGCGCATGCACTTCGCTTTGCACTCTGACAAAGCGCGCGAAGCGTATTGGTGTTTGCCCAAAATTAACCCTCTGCCCATATTTACACCAATGGGAAGGGTATCTAAGAGCTTAGCCCTGTGCTTCGTTTTGTAACGATTTAGGGCTCTACATGTTTTGTTAGGAATTTTGAGCATGTTTTAATGGGGTACCTCCAGGGCCCTTGGGGAATCATCTTCTCGGATGAGGATTCATCATTGCTGGGGGTCACTCACCGTCGTCGTCACAATAAGTCACCTCTTTGGTGACGGTGCTGAAGCACTTTCGGAGCAATCTTCATGCACTGTGCATACATCGCCACAAAACTCACAAACCAGAGAGCATTTAGTGTTGAAGTTAAAAACAAAGTTATGCACCTCTGAGTGACTAACCTTCCAGCTCGCTTGTTCATCCCTGTCCCTACTCTCTTTTCTGTTTCGTCCCTCTCTCCCCATATCCCTAGAAGTCAATTTTATGTACGAAATTTCGTACACAACTGTTCTTTTGTCTGTAGTTTGCGAACTATGAAACGTCTACAGGGTCCTTTCGAGCTCTCACGAGATTACAATGCTGTCTACATCCGCGCGAAGACAGAAAAGGAAAAGATTGATTCGTTTCCATTTGACAGCTCCGCGAAAGTTGCTCAATAATAACCTCACAAATCAGCCAAAATCCCTTTGTGTACGAATTTTCGTACATATGGACTACACAATACAGCAGATGTGGTGCGTTTGTGAAGGGCATAACTTCTCCTTCGGACTAGAAAACTCCCTCCCATTCCACTCTCGCATTCTTACACCGCACTCTACAATCCCTCTCGTGCTCTCCTGCTGCCATTCTCAGGGCACTGGGAGCGACTCTTTTCTGTTGCCCTGTTCTTGCTTGGCACTGAATCGGTTGGCCCTGACAGAGAGTGTGGTCACATCGTTCCACAATTCGGCATTATTGCGATGTCTTCCGCGCGCAGTCATGACAGCCGCGTTGTACATTTTGGGCTTCTTTGGAGACCTAATGGTCTGCAGTGACACAGAGCTTCTTTCGCTCGACGCGATAGACTCTTCACATCAACTTCATGGTGCTGATTGTCGGATGTGCCGAAACATTTGCAGTCGGATGAATTTATGGTATTGAGGATCAAATCGGGTGCCTCGGATAGATACTGGTCGTTGACTACATGGCGGCGATCTCTTCGCTGTTCGCGTTGGCCTCTAGGTTATGGTTTGGGGTGAAGTCTAGAGCGCTCATGAAGGGATTCGTTTTGTTTGGTGTGTATGTGGCGTTGGTGACTGGCGTCATCCTGCTGTGTTTACGGGTGAAGGAGGATCCGTCTAAGAATTTGTCGAGGGAGACGTTGTGTTAGATCTGCGGATGGGCAACTGTTGTGTTTGGAATGACCTCGGCCATGAGATAGGATTTTATCTAATCGTGTGAATGTTGACGGTGTCTGCGCGGCCCAAGATCACTTTTGAACAAAAATGAAGCTATGAGCAAGTATTGAGACTGTCAGCTATTGTCCTGTCGGATCAGGGACGTATCGAAAGTTCCGAAAGCAGGCTTCTGCGCCACCAAAGATGTGCTTCTGAGGGCATATATGTACGAAATTTCGTACATAAGGTCTTGGCGCCAAGATCCAAGAATTTCAGTATGTACGAAAAATCGTACATATGAAGTCTGGGGATATTTCACTGAGCGTTCGCCCGCCCTTCGCCTATTGACCGACAACATCCAACTCGATAACCCAATTTTCTGCGTACTGATACCTCGCCCTCCCGTTCTGGTCTCGGTCGCCACCAACAGCCACCACTATCTCTCGCCCCTAAGACGACGCTGCTCGTTCTAGTACCTTGTGTTTCCTTGCGATGGATCACTCTCTCCCGCCGCCACCGCTATCTCTCGCCCCAAATACGGCGCTGCTCGTTCCGGTACCTCGTGTTTCCCTGTGATCGATCGCTGTCTCCGGCCCCCTAAAGCGAATTTGATGCTTCCGATACGTCGCCCTCCCCTGTGCCACCGAACGCCACCCCCATCCAGATCTCGCGCCCCTCCTGGAACCGGGTCCTTCCAACACCTCACCCGTCCCCTGTGATACTGAACACTGGCTACCGCCTTAACTTTGTCTTGGCTCTGCTTTTCTCCGCTGCTTGCGATACCCATCCATTCATCTGTGATCCTATCGTCCACATACAACTCTCCGTTTCTGTTGCACCTATTGACCTTTACTGCTACCTGACTGCTAATTCGAAATCAGCCCAACACCCGCCTTTTCTGTCAAGGACTTGTCAATGGACTGCCACGATATGAATGTTGTCCCCTTGGAGAATGAAGACATGGAATCGGACCAAATTAATTCTGTTACAGCCGTTCCATGTAGAAGAGTCCATGAGCATAGAGTGTCCGTTCACTCTACGCTACACTGCTCTTCAACTTCTGATATATCCACTCGAAGCCTCTCAGTCCCTACTACTGGCCACTTGGACGACTACCAGTCGTCCCAGTGGCCAGTACAAGGGAAATATGAGGGTGAAATTCCATCTGTGCAATGTACAGATGAAATGCCACCCTCACATTTTGGCCAGGATATTTCAAGTGCACCACGGACAGAAAGTACCGCAATTGATTGCAATGATGACTCGTTAGACGCAAGCGATTTTGTGTTTTCTCAAGAGTTGATTCCATCTCCGGGGAGCTCTGGCGCATCTGGTCATGACACTGTGTCCACCTCAAACTTCGAAACTAAAATAAGTAATGCATAGTTGCATGATCTCTGCCCGGCCCAATATCTTGCCAGTTCGGGACGCATCATTTCAGACTCTGGGTCTGCTCTATGTGAGGAAATCTACAGCCGCCCGTATCATAACTATGACGATGAGAGATTCAGTCCTGGAATTGGGACGATGTAGATGACCAAGACAGACGCGATCTTAGCATCATTTTAACTGCCGAATAGCTCCATTCTCTAGAGCAGGCCCAGCGCAACGTTGGCTAAGAAAACTGGAATTACGACAGCCCTTTCGCAGATGTAACTGTTCGAATAGAAGATGTGAACAACAAACTTGAGAAGCGTTATGTAACTGAGGATAATACGGCGCTGAATAGAGTGATGGTTGACATCGTCAGTTGAGCGGGCGAACACACACTTGCCAACAGTGAGAGTGTCAATGTGACGCCTTTCGCTTGCTTAAAGACGTTCATCTCGGATTGTCTGTAGGAAAAGCTACGCTAGGTAGCAAATCGCGTCCTTCACGAGAGAAGGAAGGCTCCAACCGCAAGAAGAGAGCTACTAGGCCTGGTCATCTTACATGTTCTGTGTGAAGCGTACAACGAGTCACCGACTACTGTCTGGGACAGAGCGGAAAGCGAGCATTTCCTCCAAATGGGCATCTCGGCTGAGCGATACCATGAAGTGTGGGGGTCACTTAGTGGCTCCTTGGAGCACCGAGCGACTCATTACTACAGCAGCACCGGTGGTCCCGCAGTGCAAACAGGGCTACTACAGTGATAATGGAGATAGAATCTGAGACGGCTGCTATCAACCGTGAATTGTTATATATCCCTAATGCGACAGTGTTTTCTTTGGATGACGACCATTTAAGAATGGCATTCAGCGCTTTGGTAGTGCTCACTCATTTGCGACAGCTTAATAATCAGAAGAAGAGTCTCGGTCCCTTAGACAATGCCTTGTGCTCGGCCCTCAACCCTTTTTTCTGGCTTGGAACTTTACAAGAACTGGAGAGAAATTGCTACATACGTGGGAGCGGCTCGTACAACTAGTGCAAGGTGCGTCGACCAATGGAGCTCTCCGACCAATGCCAGAGACATTTTTTGCAGCCGACAGGGGATATAGATCTAAGGGGACTACACAATTTCTCTCATATGTCTTAGGGGCGAGTCTCATTAGAACACACAAGAGGTACCTTTGGTACCCTTTTGTGTTCGAAGATGGTCCGATTTCGAGGCGGCACAAGGGCATGGCTGTGTCAGAGAGGGGGGCACGTGCTGTTTACACGGCTCAACTGAAGGTCAATGGCCTGGTGCGCCGATGTCGCATTTCAGGAGGGCGCAGGCCTGTTCTTACCGGGAGCGCTGTTCAGGACGGATCGCAGCTCTTATTCAAACTAATTCCAACCTCTTCCCGTTGAGGTGCTTCAAAATAGTTTGTGGTGAGGCTTTCCGCCTGGCCTCTTCGTTGGAGAAGTTCGAAGCTGTGCTAACATTATACGACGGGTGTAGTGACGAGGGTGACAGAGCACGTAGAACCGCAGAGGGAATGCGTGCTCTACAAAATGGGCGTAAATGTGTTGAGCAGGTATTAGCCCGGATTGCTGTGCTCGCATACTACCAATCAAAGGTCCCGGTGTGGTTCCTGCTGCGGACGTTCCGGTTCATTTCAAGTACCATTCAAAGGTTCTTAGCCGCCGTCGCAAGGGATTTCGACAACAGGGTTCAAGGACTCGCCTTTCTGCTGTAGGGGAAAACCCTAAGCACTGGGACGAAAGCATTGGAAGGGGAGCTGGTTGCGCTTGTAGAGCGCATCAAATACATGTGGGAGCACGTACTAAAATCCCAAGGGATGAATACTGAAACCCTCCAAAGGCCGTCCCTGCGCCGAAATGTCGCGTCACGAATTACAAATTCGTCAGTCAGCGGCATAATCGCCTGTACTAAGAATGAATTACAGGGAATTCTTATTGTGTTCGGACGGGCTTTAGAGTCGCGGGCTACAACAGCAGAGCTCCTGACTGCAGTTTATCAACTAAGAGAAGATATAACATACAATCTCGTCGACCTTGATACAATTGTGGAGAATGAGTGAACAACAGAGGACCAGCGGGTGCGGAGCGCATCTGAAACTCTTAAGCAGGCATTCCGGGAGTCCTCATTAACTTCATGGGTTATGAAACCACTTGTGTCAACTGCTGGGATGCGGAAGGGTTGCCGGAACGAGGTCGAGCTCATAAAAACGCTCCCGAACTACTGCAATCGTAGTAAAGGCACATACAGACGGAAGTCGGGGTGCTCGGAGTCCGCCTGGGATGATATCTTTGCATTTAAAATCAACCATGTGCGTTACACCGGGCTTTTGGAGAGTAAGAGCTCTTCTATGCTGGCTGATTCACCAGATGCCGTTCTGGTTGCATCAGATATGGACGATATCGAACACGTGAGCGCCGTGGAGATTAAAACTATGACGTCTGTGAAGACCGTTGAGGAAGCCACAGTTTTGAGACATAAGTATGGATCAGTGGTGTCTCTGGAAAATGTTGGAATGGACGACAAAAGTACTGAACTATATAAAGAGCTTGTGACAACTCCTGAGTATCATTCACAAGTCCTGCATCATGTGGCGACACTTGGAATTAATGTAGTACTGTTTGTCGTTGGCACTGGCGGATCCATTACAGAGGGGCGGATTTTTTATGTCTGCCTTATTGCGTTTTCCCAATAGCTCATATCATGGCTATACATATGCCATGGAGTGTGTGCGTGTGACTTCCTTCGCCTGGATTGGTGGAGATGGAAAGAAGATACCATCTGAATATGATGAATTATTGCGCAACTCGCACGCCTAGGATTTGTACACTTTTGTCTCATACTACAACCTAAGCCGCGCCATACGAAAACAAGTGCTTAACTGCAGTAAACCAATAACCCCTTTCGTGTGATTCGGCTAACCCCAGCCGTGTACTGGATTCAATACAAAGGGGGTGTTGACGTCATCTCGAGGTACTTAAAGACCCTCGCTCGGTAGAATATAAGCGAGAATCCAGTTGTCTGAATTATTGCGCGTCTACTGTGCATGCAGGTCAATAACGCTGCAGTGGTCTACAGGTTGTACAAAGCCAGGCAGCACAAACTACTTCCGCAATCAATGGAGGAGAGTGGCAGTAATAGAGACAGAGGATATTCAGCCTTAAGACACAGAGCCACACAGTGCCAAACATTTAGACGCTTTGCTAGACTGATGGCCAAAGAATGAGTAGAAACTGAAAATTATAACTAAAGCAATGATGTAAATAGAGCATGTAACCATAACAACAAGAAAAGTATACCTGCCTTTGCAAGGAACGCTGCAGAAAAGTATAATCTCGGGACTTACAGAGAACTACGTCTAACCAAAGGCTTGGAACACGAGACAGTAACGGCGCAGCCAACATAATGCGTATTTTGTAGTTGGACATTGCGCGGGACGAAAGAAGGAAAACCTAGGGCGATAAGGAAAGGTTCATGGAAAGTGCAATGGTGTACGACTTGCAAGCAGGCAATTTGCACGACATGCTGGTGTCGTGCCCGAAGCCCTTCCGCTCTCCTCTATATAAAATCGATCCCCTAGTCTGTTCAAAAGGCTAAGGGCGGGACACCGGTCTGGTTGCAGCGCAGCAACCGCCCCGGAGGGCAGCATACCCCAAAGGCCACTTGCTTCGTTCCAGCCAGTGGCTGGCCCGGCTAACAGGCACAACCCGTCAGCCGGGGCAAATACTCCAACGGTCGCTATTTGCGGCCGTTCGCCTACACGCGCTCGTGGAGAAAGCAGCGTACGGGACAGGGATGGTAACCTCTTAGACGGAGGCATGCGCATGCGTCCGCTCTGAGAAACATCGCCTAGTCTATATAAGCAAATAAAGGCATCGCTCTCTGAAAAAGGAGGCAGAGCGAACTGGCCAACCTACTTGCCCGAAGAGTGCATCCGCACCCTTCTCATTCCATCTTGCCACTCACCAACCGAAAACCCAAATTGCCATCCTCTGTAGTGCCCTGACCCCGCGATCTGTCACACTGGGAATAATGGCATAATTTGGTTACACTGAAGCGCAAGGTGCCCACAAGCACGGAGGTTAGAGCATTTGAGCAATCCCTTGGAACTAAGCCAAGGCGAAATAGATAAGAGAAAATCGTTAAGAACTGACAGGCAATAACGAATGCAAAGATGTTCCTGCCTTCTCGTGTCATTTTTGAACCATGAAGGTCAGATGCCGATCTGCTATGCCTGCTTGTACACAAAGTGCCATCTTGATGCTAATAGCATAGTTTCATGACGCCTTTTGACATTTGCCCCTACCGCCACTGTCAATCCCTCATTGCCATCCATCCCAACCCCGCATCAAACTCCCACATGACGCTTCTGCGTACCATTTCTACGATAGCAATCGTAGACGTCACTGTAGTGATTTTGAAGACTCTTTTTGGGCAAAACTGGGAAGGCTCCAATGGTCGGATGGGATTATGAAGCTTCTAGCGGATGAAAGTTATGGCCGAAATATGAATTTTCGCAACTTTCGCCCAAAAGACCATTTTTATAGTGCAGAGTGCTAGCTTTCACCTGCACTCCACAGAATGGAAAAATCTGATCCCGTTCTCGCGTTTGCTCACTTTTAGTGTTTTACAACTTACAGCATCCAGTACTTACAGCATCTAGTCCTTACAGCTACCCTTCAGTGCGTGTTGACGCCCGCCAAGCGTCGTGGCTGCCCACTGGCCGCCCCACGCGCAACAACCCTCACAAACTATTCCCTCCGGTCCCCGCTACCGTTCCGGCATCCCTCCCGCTCTCATGTGCCTCTACAAAACAAACTGCTCCCCGCCCGCCCTCTCTTCAACCCTCCCTCCCACGACCTTCCAGTACGACGCGGCCTCGGCAAGCACGCGCGAGTTGCGCGGGTGGTGCCGCAGCGCGTCGTGGGACACCTTGCGCGCGTCGAGCGCGCGCTTAAGCCTCAGCTCCAGCACTGCACACTTCAGCTTCAGCACTGCTGGAGCTGGGGCTGAAGCGCGCGGACGGCGTTCATCTGGCACTCTTGGGGCATGGCATGCTCCAGGAGTGCCAGATGAACGCCGTGTCCTCGCTTGTGACACGCCTCGCCTGAACAGCTCGCGCGCACGCTCCGTATTCTGCACAAGCTTGAGGTCAAGCTGCCCGTACTCATGCCAAACAGAAGCAGACGCAGAAACTTTGAGCCCTGGAAACGTGCGCGCCGGTGCCCTCGCAACGTGGGCGACGGTACTCTTTTCCAGACACCCGCCGCACCACCAGAACCAGCACCTCTCTCTCGTCCAGCCCCGTCCTTCCCAATCCCCAGCGTCTTCTACCTCGTCGTCGTCCTCCCCACATCAGCCCCGGTCGTCCTGGAACCCTTCACGCGTGCCTTAGAGCAGTCCCGCAGTGCCGTCTTCGTAGTACTGCCTTTTCGCAGCCTCGTCCTTAATGTAAGGCTCAACAATCATCTTGTTCAGGTACAGATCCCTGAAGCCGTGGTGCTCGGAAGAAACATCTGACAAGGGGGTGATCGGCAAACGATGAGACTCATCTCGCAGCACCAAGTCCCAATCATGAGACCTCATCCTCAGTGTGGCGGCGGGACTTGCGGCCACTACAGTGTTACCTTTCTTATTTACGCCGCCCTTCGATGACCGCAACAAGTTGAACGTGTCGCATGAGGCGGATGCGGACAGTCTCTTCGTCTTGACCAGTCCCTTGCTGCTGCTTTCGAAAGTAAACTCCTGATACTTCTTGATTGCAAACTTGGTCGGGATCTTGAAATACTGCCCCAGCATCCTCTTCCAATCACGCCAAAATACATCAACAGACGGCACGCACTTGGTGCTCTTGCTGCTATCCCTCACGACTTTCATCATGTCAGCAGGTGTTCAGACATCCGTTCTCCGCAAGCGTCTCTTAACATGCCCGAAAGAACCATCACAGACGTTCTTATTATGTCCGACGACGAGGAAATTCAAAACAACCTTCGCTTGCCGGCCAGACAGAACCAGCCACGCGCAAAACCACATAACAAACCTATTCTTATTTTGCCCTCCACAATTGTCAGCAGTCAACAAAAACGTTCCGCCGCTCCCTTCAATCTCAGCTGGCAGTTGCATAGTGTGGAAGAGCATTGACAGTACTGAATTCGCAGATTTGTCATTCGGCCAGTATCCTTCTGGGAGACCGTAGACGTAGTTCAACTTCCGTCGACTGCTTGAGACCCCGTTAAGGTCGAATCTCAGCCCGACTAAGTAGTGAAGCTTGTCGTGCACTGAGGGGGAAGGGTGGGATCCCCCTCTGGCAGAGCGCGCGCGTTCGGGGGGCGCGTGTAGGGGGTTATCGGGAGACCACCCGTAAGGGACCGGTACGGGGCCGGGCGCGAAGCGCAGTAGGGAAAGTAAGGGAAAAAGAGGCAAAAAAGAGCCCAGGAGGGGCGGAGCGGTAGGGACGGCTGTCGTGCGGAGAGCCGGGCGTGGCGGGACGACGCGCGCGGTAGAGACAGGAGGTAATCGAGACGCAGATGGCTCGCAGGGTACCGTCGTGGGACGGGGACCGACGCGAGGCTACGACTCCGTTCCAGAAACCCGAGTTGTAGACCCAAAGCTTCGTGAGGATTTACTTAGGGTCGGACGTCGGCTATATACTAGCCGACGTCGGAGCTATAATTAATTAAACTAAAAGAAACTAAATTAAAACGACGGCGGCGACGGCCGGAGAAACTCCCCTTGGGGAGGTATGACAACCACTACACGTGGGGGGTGACACCTGGACACAGGAGCCTTGACGCCTGGTTACACGTGGCGCGCGGTACACGTGTGTCCCGGAGAAGGAGTCGTGCTGGCCGGGGGCAGGTGTCCCCTGGGAAAAGGAAAAGGTGGGTCAGTGCACTACAAAGCTGACCACCTTGACACAATAAATTGGGAATCTGCACCTTCTCCGCAAAATCAAACACATAGTGGCGCGAGCTCAAACAGCTCCGTTCTTGTGGAAAGACACTCCATAGCCGTTGGTTGTTCTGGTATGTCAAGAATTCGCCGCATGCTTCAGCACGGTGCATTCTGAAGATTTGAAGAAGGGGGAGATGCAGCCCATCGCCAGCAGTGCAAAGCTTCATTTGCTGCTTGAGAGACACACATAAATCGCAGAAATCACTACCTCCAGTCGCGATGCGAATCTCGGCCTTGTCCTTCTTCCAGTAATTCCGAAACGTGTGCAGTGCTAGCGGGCGTGCCGGAGCCTTCCAAGACGGTCGTCTCGCGCACTCAGCCGCGCAAAGAACAGGCCAAGCCTCCGTGTATGCCTTGTACAAGAGTGCCTTCGTCGTCCCGACAGGAAGAATTCGACATGCCTTACCCTGCTTGAAATGACGACCACTCGGGGACTCGAGACCATGCTCCGTGCCATAGTGATCGAGAAACTGCCTCAGAGAAGATCTCTGAATTCCGTGTTTGTGCTCCCCATTATCGTACGCCCTCTGATTGACGAGCTCAAAACGTTCGAGTATAGAAGCTCAGTCATGTGGTCTTCAATTGTCCGGACACTTAGTTGCAGAATCGCGGCAAAAGATGCCTCGCAGAGGCGCAGGCCTAGCATAGCGTAGATCATAGTTGATCTCCCGCGGCGAGAATTAGCCTTTTCACCAGCAGCAGTCTGTTCACCAGCAGCAGCCCCTCCGATACCCCCGGATTCTCCAACACCACCAGCCTATCCCTCTACAGCTCCACCAGTAGCAGCCTCTCCGCTACCACCTTGACCGACTGGATGCTGTACATTGTTGTAGTATAACGACCGGCGAGCGCGCGGGGAGGTTATTAACCGTGCGGCCGTGCACGGTGCACACGTGGGCGGGTGTGCCCACGTGTAGGGAGCGCGCGCGTTGACCAACCGGCCGTGGCGTGGCGCACGTGTACAGTAGCACACGTGTCGTCCGTGCGGTAGTCTACGCGTGTTACGTGTGCGCGTTAGCACACGTGTCGTCCGTGCGGTAGTCTGTAAGCAACACGCGTGTACAGTAATGCACACGTGTAGTAGCAGCGTCCGTGCGGTAGTAGTAATTATGGCGCTAGCTTTTTAATTGTGTACAGTACCTGGCACGCACTAGGCGGCAGGTGCTGTACTACTGTACTAGGACAGGTGTCCGAGGCGTCCCTCTGCGGGGTTAAGACCTGACACCCGTCCCTACCGGTAAACTGGGGCAAGCTCGCCCCCGTCCCTTTTGCGCCTACGTACGTCCGTTTTCGGTTGTCTGTCGCGCGCGCTGGCTTCTAACCCGTTACCGGTCGCTCCTGTTCACGCACCACGGGGGGACTGCGCGTAACCGGCCAGTGAGCCACTCCCTTTTCGCGAGCTCGTCCGATCGGTTCAATTGGCGCGTCGCGTCCGCGCCGCGTGCTCCCTCGCTAAAGCCTCCGCCTCTCACCCAACCCAGGGCGGAGAGGAGTTATCCCACAATTGTCAGGAATCCCTCCACCAAACTTTCGTTTTCGCCTGTTCTTCTGTTGGGAACTGTCGGCGGGGCTCTTGCCCAACTCATTGGTATCCCCAGGTCGAGCGCCTGTGGTCAGGATGACAGAACGTAAATTTACGATGCGCTGAGATCTTTTCATGCTGGCGAAACAAGTAGCAAGCTGCTCTCCGTCCCGGAGCTTGTGCTCATCGTGGTGGCATCGCGACATGCACGTTTCGAAGTACCGCCGCGGCGTATAGGATAGCATAGGAGCTTCCGACCTGAAAGCCACTCCCGCTTCCCCGTTTTCACCCCCGGTCGCTCCCTCCTCACCCTCCTCACCATCACCTGCACCTGCACTCTCACCCCCATGCTCACCCTCGCAATCACCGTTTTGGCCATCAAAGTCGACACCGTTGTCCCCATCGTTGTTGGTATCGGTGTCGTCCTCGCCCCCCTCGAGCCCGGCATCGGCAAGGTCGTCTTCGATGAGAGTCTCCGCGTCAATCATGTACTCCGGTTGCTCCTGCGCCTGGGCCATGTCGTACTCCATGGCCACAAGCTCGTCATCGCCATCGTCCTCGTCCGCATGAGCGCCTGCAAAAGTCATTGCTTCAGGAGGTGCTCGCCATCAGCGCGATGGTGAGCGGCCGAGGGCCGGATCTGAGTACGAGCCCACGCAGAAGGCCTCTGCAAGTGTGAAATGTTTTCAAATTTGATTTCTTGGCCGGCCGCTCAGGTGATGCTTTAGCGTTTTCTCCCTGTTCCTGGTACTTTCAGCTATCTGGTGTGAGCCAGACCTGTGTCTGCAGACCCTTGAGGCAGTGTCTTACAGCATCCTATTCAAAAAACAAATTTGACCAATCGAAAGAACGGGTGCCATTTACCTACGAGGTGCTGATAACTCCGAAATTTCGAAAAGCTTCATAATACGGTCTGACCATTGGAGCCTTCTCAATTTATGTGGCTGATTTGGTGCATTTTTGGTTTAAATACTTCAGGAAGGGTAACCCCTCGACAAACTTGAAGGGAACCAACATGTGTCCTAACCTCAGGATGAACCAATGAAAAATCCACAACAGTACAACTCACCACTGCCCACCAATACTGCCCACATACAGTACAAACAAAAAACCGTCCAACCGCCGCGCGCCTCCCCTCACGCCTCAATGTGCACCAGCGCGGCATCCCTCATCGCGCATCAGAGCGGCATCCCTCATCGCCCACACAAACCTGTCAGGCGAGAGCACGCCCGTGGTCGCGATCAGCGCCCGCACGCCGGCCTTCCTGGCCGCCATGCGCACCGCGGACGCCTCGGCGCGCGCCACCCCGCCGACGAACACCACCACGGCCGTGGGCCCCTCGTCGTCGCCCGCCTGCCCCTGCGCGCCCGCGCCGTCGCCGTCGCCGTCGCCGTCGCCGTCGCCCGCGTCGGCGCGCCGGTGCTCCACCGTCGCGTGCCCGCCGGGCAGCACCGACGTGTGCTCCACCACGGCGGGCAGCCCGCCCCATCCGTCGCGCCCGAGCGCGGCCT